TGCAGCCCCCTCTCCTTTTTTATCTCAGCACATTAGGATTTTCCCTTCTTTCAAAACATCTGATTTTTTCATGGAGAAATGTCTCTTGCCACTTTCCTCATGCCACTCTCTTTCTTTCCATTTCCGTGTATGTTGCTATGCTGCACTACTTGCCTATGCTGTCTTTTTTCTGCTGCACTTTGTTTCTTGTACCCATTTGTTGGCTTGTGCTTGGACAACCCCTTTTGGTCAATGTTAACCTTTGGACAGAATTTTGAAAATTCTGATATTTGATATGTAGATGCATCATTGTGAGTTTATTTCCTTGGTCTTGTGACATGTAATGGTTTTGTGATATAATGCAAATTATCGCTTCTTGCATGGGGCTGTTTTGGATCATATTAAAATTACCCATGACTAAGCAAACATAGTCTTGATCTTGACATGTTCCAATGTTGAGTTGTATCTTAATTATTTTCCTTGGATGTTTGTAGGCACAATGAGGATCATGTGGACTTGATGGGGCATGAAGGGTACCATGGCATGAATTTGACTAGAAACTTGAATGAAGATTAGAAATAGATTAATTTCTAAACATTACTTAGAGTTGGAAATTTTGTAACAAATGGCATTCTTGTAATGTCATGAAATTTCTCTTTGTAACATTCTTGCATCTAATCTTGAATTCATGAATCTTGGATTTGGAAAAATAGATCTCCCTTATGCCATTGAAATGGAATTAATGAAGCCTTGAATTATGAACTTGTGATCTTGACTCATGCTTTGTAAATTTGGACTCCATTTTATCAAGAATTTGAAATAAAGTTGGAGGAAGAAATCTTGAATTAGGCATTGAACTTCATGTATATTAGGAATATTGATCTTGAATATCCTAATATTTTTTCAAGTAACTTCTCCTTGAAGGAATCTACATGAGTAGACTTTCCAACTTGAACCAAACCTTAGATGATGAACATTTCCTTTAATGTAGCCCATTATAGGCAATTCCTCTTATTTGAAATGGAAAGCAACAAACCGACTCAATCCTTACCTTGTGAACCCACATTCTCGATATGCAATAGAACAATGTATGATATGACGAATATAGGGTATGAAAGGTTAAAGGTGAAAATGAGGGTGTGACAAGTGCTCCCCGTGGAAGTAGAGATCCCGTCAATGTGAGTCTTGATGGAGGCCGAGATTACAGAAGCTAAATGGTGTCAGGACAAATATGACCAGTTCAATTTGATTGAAGAGAAGAGAATGACAATCCTATGTCATGGTCAGTTATACTAGAAGAGAATAAAGAATGCATTGGACAAGAAGGTTTGTCCCCATGAATTCATATAAGGAGACCTCGTGCTTAAAAAGATCTTGCCTATCCATAATGATTCTCGTGGCAAGTGGACTTCCAATTACGAAGGCCCATATGTTGTTAAGAAATTCTTTTCTGGAGGTGCATTGATTCTTGCAACTATGGATGGTGAGGAGTTCCCTCATCCGCTGAATGCCAATGCAGTTAAGAAATACTTCACCTAAATATAATTAAAAGAAAAGCTCTATAAGTTGAAATCCCGAAAGGACGGCTTAGGAAAAAATGAATGCCTCAGTAGATTCAAAACCTGAAAGGGCAATCCAGGCAAAAACTGGAGACATAAGCAGAAATAATTCATCCCGGTAGATTGAAAACTCGAAAGGGCGATCAATGCAAAAGTTACAGATTTTATGGCAAGTAACTACATCAGGAAATGCTTATAAGTTGAAGCAACGACACCATCAATTTGGAAATCTCTGTTCAATCTCTCTCAACATAAGCTAGATTACGAGAGAGAGTTGCATTGATGATTTTGAGTTCATCCTGCAACAAAGCTAGAAAAAGTGTTATCCCCGGGAGAGGGTTGATGATTGACGGAGAGATTTATTTCAAGTTCCAACAGAGTTGTTGCTAGGCTTGTTATGAGTTAATGTTACTTCCCCAAGTAGTGTTTGTTACCATAATGTTGTTTTGCCGGCAGAGTGCTACCTATTCAGAGAGTTGTAAATTTAAGAAAAATTGTTGATTCAAGTTTCCCCAACAGATCTTTTATCCCCAACAAAAATTTCCATTTACCTTGGAAGATGATTGCAGAAGCCAAACTTTGTTGCAGGGTCTCCATCTAGTTGAGATTTGGCTGAGTACCCAATTGTGGTTTTGGTTCTCCTAGTTGTTCAACAACCCATTTTGTTAGCATAAGCATGACATTTTATGTATTTGGCATTCATAAATCGTCAATATGCATAGCTGAAGGCTGATTCATTCTCATCTGCATATTCCTTGCTCCTGGTCGTGTATCACTAGTGAGTCTACCTGTAGCTCCGATTTTCGTAACGCAGCCACTGCCACATTTGGTGCTACTTTCTGATTTCTAATATTTATCCTATAAAGCTTAAAAGGAAGGGTAAGATACCTTAAACTAACCCTGCTCGCAAGTTTTTTCCCTACAAATGCTAAGAGATCTGAAATCGAGGGTTGGTTATACTAAGGGAAACTATTAACACCCTGAGTATCTATAGGAACCTTTATTGTGTATATTTCTACTGTTGAATTGCTTACTTGCTTAAATTTTTTTGCTGTTTAAAATTGGGAAATTTTATCCTATGTGAAAATTGAGGAAAAGTTTTGTTGTTTTTCTAGTTTTCTATTGTTTTTGGAATGTACCTAAACCTAAGGCTTTATTTTTTATTAGTTTGATCGCTAAGATCTCACAATCTCTACCTACGTATTCCCAACAAAAGAGGATTGGGGAAATCAGAGCATTCATAGTTCCTCCTAATCTATGGGAGGAAAAAGTTTGTTTTGTATCTTATTCAAAGTCCAAGATGATGAAGCTAAAGGAGTGTTTGAAACATTTGACAAATTATCATCTTTAAGGGAGATATCTCACATATTTACTACAATAATTTGAGAGTGATGCCATAAGGGAAGAAAGCTTTAAACTTATTGTGTTAAGCAATGCCACTTTTTCCTTTATGAGTTCTTTACATACTAATAGAATGACTTTAACTTGGATATATCATCAACAAGTGTGCCACTTAAATCAGTTAGATGAAAGAAAAGTTTTTGAACCATGATTAAAGAGGGACTCCAACTTGTATTTTGAATCAATAAGAGTGCCACTTACATCAATAATCTAAAAAACAGTTTTGATTGTTTGATTTGAATTATAGTGATTATAAGATATATCTTCCTACAGAGATGACTCAAGGTATCATCTGTGAGGAGATGGATTTATTTAGGTATCTTGATTAAAGCCCAAGATATGAAGTTGAAAAAGATTGAAAACTGACTCAATTGAGGAGTTTTATCTGTCTTATACAATGCCCAAGATTGAGGCTGATTGACAGGAGGAAATTATTTGTGTAAAAGCCTGAGAGAAGGCTAATGACTATTGAGTAAATTTGAAGAAAGACTGGCTCAATACTGAGGATTCGACTGATCTTTTGGTGATTTGTATTTGTATCCTGCACAAAGCCCAAGATGAATGAGGCTTAAAGATTTTATTTGTATCCTGTACAAAGCCTAAGATGATGAGGCTTAAAGATCTATTGTATAGATGACTAAGACTTGGCTTATGCTTTTAAGAAGCCTGAGGGTCCTTGTATGAAGCCCAAGAAAAGGCTATGATGCTAGGGAGATTCTTTTATGATGCTCAAGAGGAGGCAATGATGCTTGTATAAGTTTTAAGAGGAGGCCAAAGAACTAGTTGTTTGAACTAAGTTGTGATTTGAAGGGATCCTATTGTTTGACTAAGTTGTGCATCATCTTGCATAATTTGCGTGTTTTATTACTAACCGGTTTGTGCAGGAACAACTATTTCAAGTGATGATGATACTTTTTCTCTCAGTCAAATACTTCAAAACGCGATCAATGGATTATGATTCAAAAACCCCATGATTTTCTACCGGATTGATTCTTGTAAGATCAACTCAAACTATTTTCTTCACGAAACTAAGGGTTAAGTTTGTTCTTATCAAGAATCTAGGTTCATCATCATCCAAGTATTTGATTATGCGGATTGCAAGATAGATTTGCAAATGCATTATAAAAAGGTTCAACCAGGATTTTTTTTTATGCCGAGACTCAAGGCTTCCTTCACAATTCTTTCACAAGAGTATATACTAGAATCGTTTTCAAATGTATAATTCAAGCCCAAAATGATTCATTTCACTCAAGGCCTAGCTTTCCCCATTCAATGCAAATGCCACAAATCTATCTTGCGTAAATTGCAAGAAAAGAGTGTCGTAGATGAAGTGGTGGATGGTTGAGCCTGAACATTACTGTCCCTGTCACAACCAGATTGTTTTAGATATGCTTGTCCATAATGGAAAGGGGATGACTTTGAGAAGGAATGGTCACTTAACTCTCGAAGAAACTATAATTTACTTTAGCATTGGAAATCCATGCATTTTGTTTACATTTGAATAAAGAACTAGAGGGCTTAATACTCTCCTATCTCAAATGGTGGATCAGTGGTTTTCAATTTTAAAATGATTTTAGGGGAGAATGCTAAAAACTTATAAGATTGTTCCTTTGAGCATTGAGACCTTCACACCTTACCAGAACTTTAGGGAATAAATTTACGAATAAATGACTCATGGATCATGCTACTTAGCTATTGGATTTTACAGCAAAAAAGAAATTGGCTCGGTGAAGGTTCTATACATAAATGGAATTCAATTCAATGATAAATTGACATGAATTGATAAACTATATCTTTGAGATATGTTCAAATATTGACATGGTTACATTAGAAGATTCTTGTGCATCATGTATGTGTATGTGTATGGCATAATTACAAGATAATAGGTTTGTATACACACAAATAATTCCACACATTTTCTATCCCCAAATCATGTGCCTCAAGGAATAATAAGTTGCAGTGGAACAACTCATGTTTAGAGCATCCACCAGAAGTGCGAGGTAAGGGAAGTATCTACTTCGATGTCACACCAGCGGCAGGGACATTGTGTGCCTGTTGAAGATGTCCCAAAATGCTGTGAACAAGTTAGAACCATACCATATGAGCTCACTACCGTCAAGCATAATATTTTCATCACTGCAACACCCTGCCAACAACCTCAACAAAATTACCAAGTTGTGTCAAAACCCTAACAAGTACAATAGCATTAAAATCACAAATTTAACATATTATAAGCTGAAATTTCATTTCTTTTATGTTAATTTCCCAACACCACCCAGATCTGAAAAGGTGTCTGCAATTGTTCCAAGCCTGCTGCATCAAGATTTTAAAGTTAGCATTGATAGTTCAAATCAACTGCCACCACTTTGTAACCATAAACTCTGTTTCCTTTGAACCTAGTGTGGAAGGAATATTTTCTTTTGTTTCAATATTTCAACGATTTTAAGTATGCTAGTAATACCATTTGTTTCCATGATAAATTAATGACACAACTTACTTTGAAACTCTTCTGTCATTGTCCCTCAGGCCTCGTAATCCCATTTTCATAAAGCCAAAACCAAATCAAATAATTACCCAGCTGGTGTTAACATCATATTCATGCCTGGCCTAGCTATAGTAACACTGTGTCTTGTATGTCCATGATTAGGATTAGTTCTCCCAAAGCTCCTTGAAGCCACCTCCTAAATTGAACCACCAATACCTACACCATAAGAGATAGAGAAAAATCAAAGTAATTCTGACTTACAGATGTAGTTTATGGCCTAAATTTTGTTTAAGCATAATTCATTTTGTGATTACATAAAGTTGGTATCTTAAGCTCATTATTTGAAATGAATACCTTTAAAAGGTGACAGCATGACAGAATTCCCACTCTCATGATGGACCTTCAATATCTGGCATTGAATTCTGGCATGGTCCTGTCAAAAGCAATCTATAGCAAGTTCTGGAAAAAGAGAAAACTAAAATTTCTGTTTAGAATATGCATATTGTTAATCCTGAAAGTATGTAAATACAAGTCACAACGGGTTAAGTTCTGATACAAAAACAGTCTCACAATTGAGGGAAGTGGCATAAGAGAAATCACACGTCACAATTCCACCTGGTGGCCATGCAGAACTCGCCCTAGGGGCTTGTTTTTCCCTGCAAAGACCTCCTTGTTAGCAATGGAGGATTATCAATAGGCCAGGAAGTCATTCTCATAAAAAGAAGAATCGTACAGACAACACTGAGATTAGAGCATACCTTCATGTAGCCTTTTGTGCTTCAGAGGATGCGGTTGTACCAGATGTTTAGGATGTTCTTGATAGAATCAAAAAAGTTTTAACAAGAATCAATATCATCAAATATTTCCAAAAACATAAGGTACAGGATGAATCGAAAGTGAAAAATCTCAAAAACATGTCTCAGACACAATCAATCCAAAAAGGAAACTTTCATTTCAAATAATCAACAACATTCAAGGCAATAATCCTATATAAAGCAAAGAGGGGAGAAGGAACAGAAGAGAATTGCTACAAGGAAAATGTGTCCAAATAAAGAAAAAGGAGAATAGACAAGGAGAACGAACCTTATCTTGCATCGAGGTCACTGCGAAGCCACCGAAAGTCTGTCATCGCCGTTGTTACTCCCAGATCCTCCATTTAAGCATCTCGTAATCCTTCGTCATTTTGTCGGTAACTCTCCCCATATCTTTCTCATGATGATTTATGTTTGTTGATTGATTGGATTCGTGCTTTCTTTGATTGAGAACCACTGTGTATTTTGTTGAACCCTGAATCTTTTTTTGAGTAAATGTTGGTGAAAGAGGCGGAAGCGAGACCGAGAGAGAAGATAAGATGCAAGTTTCCTTTTTTCTGTTTGGATTTTTGACATTGCCCTTATGAAACTAGGTTGGGCCATAAAACCATGACCTCAATTGAGGTTTTATTTATAACCCCTTTGTCGCAACTGCGAGAAAATAACGACAGAAAAATATAAGAGTCGCCACCGAATGTTATTTATCCCAAAGAGAGGAAAGGAAACGATCAAAGAAAACACCCCTCACGTCTGTTGTATTCAACGGGATCCACGCTTGTTGTCTAATAAATGGGTGAAAACTATCTAGAAGGATGTTGCTAAACGGGGGAGAAGAGAAAGAACAGACTCGATAGGATATCGTCGCCATATGCCTACGTATTCCCTCGTGCAATGGGAAAGTTATAGTCAACGTAGTTCTGGAAATTACGAGGGGAGGTTGCTCGCCAAGACGTCATCGTCTTGTGAGTTAAGGTGTTTTGGTGAGTGACGTTAAATTTTCATTCCAGCAGTTAGGGATGATGCCTGTTTGCAGTAGAACGGAAAAGTAACGTACTCTTGGGTAAGGGTGAAAAAGAAAGAAGAGTGATCGCCAAGACATCACTGTCTTGTGTCTACGTATTCTCATCTGGTATGAGAAATCAGAGGAGAGACCTCTAGGTCATACGTTAAAGACTCTAGACAATGTGAGCAGAGACCTCTCCACTCATCATTTCCTACGTATCTAACGCTTATGGCTCACAACACTCGTCGCGGTTATGGGTTTGAATTAATGGTTCGAAAGTGTAAGAGTCGAATCAGGACACAATGTGACGCTAAATCGTCGTAGCTTGACTTATGAGGGAAGTCGAACTATAGGAGGTCGCGTAATTGATATCCGTGATATGGACAAGATAGAGAAATGATATTGAGGATCATTCTCTGATTTAATTGTGTCGCACGGAACAAAAAGATGAGATCTCATCTTAATCGCAAACATAATGTCGAATAATCGAAGGTAGCCTATCACAATCCCAAAGTCAAGAAAATGACCAAAATGGTCATTTTCCATAGATTTGAAATCGGGAAGGTTATCGACTTCGATAATCTGACGCTTACGAATACAAGACTTCATCGATCGGGGAAATTGAAATAAAAACCGAAATGAGGAGAGAAAGGAGGTAGTCTCGGATCCAACATTACTTATCAATAATTTGACTAATAACGGTTTACGGAAATCTCGTCATCGACGAAAGAAACGACGAAAAAAAAGATGAATAAAAGTCGAAAATGAAAAGGAGAAAGAAAGTGGGTCTCGGATCTATCGTTTTTCATTAATAATTTGACAGAAAAACTTAGAGGTCTCGTCATCGACCCAAAAGATGAAAGTGAAATAAAATGCTCAATGATAAATAAGAAAAAGTCAAAATCTAACTTATAAGAAAAAAACTAATTATAAAAAACTCTAAAGAAAAAGTTAGAAAATATATGTTTACAAATCTAATAGTTAATTTATAAATATTTAACAATTCCTAAAAACTAATTTAAGAAAATATGTTAACAAATATTAAGAAATTACATTAAAGAAAATAAAAATACAAAGGGGTGAGATTAAAACATGAGGATAATTTGGGCTTTCAAAGCCCATCACCTCTTTAAAAAAAAAGGACAAAAATGCAACAGCCAGAAAAAGCAAAACGGGTCTGAGCCTAAATCCTAGTGACACAACTGCAATGCTCAGTTTCAAAAAGGAAAAAACCCAACTCAACTTATTACGGCAAACTCAAACGATTATAGTGAAACAGAGGATATCAACTCTATCTTCATCCCAATATCCATTAGAACGATGACGAAAGGAGAAAAACAAACTCTGGACTACACACACGGCGAAGTGATCAACCCAACCTCCGTTGAGTTTGTTTCGTCCGTCTCTTACTCGGCCTCAGTTTTAAGGTTTTCAATTTGTTAAGGATTTTGTTTTGGATACTGATTCAAAGGGGTTGTTGTATTGTGTTTCTTATTCTCCCTCGGTTTTATGTGTTCTTTATTTTTTTGGATTTTTTGATTTGGGGTTTGATGGATTTGAGGCCGGAAAGAAGGTTGAAGGAGATGGGTTGAAGAAGGAGTTTCACGGCGGGTTTAGTGGTGGTGCGACTGGGTTTCGTTTGGAAGAAAATGGGTTGGAGTTGTGAGTGGAAGAAAGGGTTTTGTTCTTGGTTTTCAAATGAGATGAAGATGTTAGTGGTGGTGCAGTGATGCTTGGCGGAAATAGAGGTTTGGAGTTGATTCGAAGGGTTTCGTTTGGGTTTTCGAAGGTTGTCCGGAAGAAGAAAAATGGGTTTTACGTGAGCGACAGTCGAAGATGATGACGAATGGTGATTGAAGTCAATGAATGAGAAGCAGAGGATGATGATGGTGTTTGAGTGATTGAAATGGGTTCTATGGAAGGGTTTGGATCTGAGGGAGATTTGGAGATGGAAATCGTGGTTGAGTTTTCGATTTGGATGGTTTTTCATGGGTTGATGGAGACGAAGAGGAAAATGGCGGATGGAGATGGAGAAGAGGGTTCACGGTGGAGGTGGCTGCTTTAGGGTTTCAGAAATGTTGAAGGAGGTGAACAGTAACGGCTCTTAGGGTTTCGTCTGGGGGTTGGGGACAATGAACAGGGCCCGAGCTATATAGTAAGCGACATGTGTCGCTGCTCTGCTGTCCTATTTGGATTAATCTTCAATTAAATTAAAATTGTACTAATATTGATTAATAATGAACTAATAATAATATTCTAACTTAATTCTAAACTAAACTCTAATCTAACTATGACCTATTAAATCTAATCTTAGTTCTAAAAACTAATCCAACTTAAACTAATGACTAATCTAAATAATAAATCTAATTCTAACTTAATAATTAAAATAAATCTAATTTCTAATAAAAAAAACTAAATATTCTAAGTTTAATGATTTTAATTAAACTAAAATAAATTTTAAACAAAATCATAACATTAAATAAATTAAGTTCTAATCCAAGATTAATTAACAACCTAAACTCTAAATTAAATCCTAATTAAAATTCTATTTCTAACGAACTAATTAAAGTTCTAAACTAATTCTAAATAAAATTAAACTCTAATATATTGTAAACCTAATTAAATTCTATTCTAAAATCTAGATTAAAAACTAACTAATTCCAATTTCTAATAAAACTAATAACTCCTAAATTCTAATATAATTATAATAATAAAATCTAAAAATATAAGTCTATTTTCTAAATAAATAAAAATCTATTTTCTAAAAATTCAAATGAAAAACTAAATAAATTCTATTTAAATTCTAAACAAATTAAAGCAATAATAAATCACAAAATGCCACGAAATAAAAAAGGGGTCGAACACCGAAACGTGACAAAATTAACAGCACATACTGAACCACCAGAAAGAGAACAACCTTCGCTCGATTCCGAAATAAATCTCATCATTTGAACTGGTTTTAAATTGTCTAAAAATGCGAACAAAACAGTTGTAATCCTGATAAATCCCTTATGTCTGATAACATGAGCAGTATGTGATAAATGATCGACCTAGATGATATGCAGATGAAATGCGAAGCAAAAGCCAGTCAAAG